GAGGATGTCCTGTGTGTGAAGTATTCCCCAGACCAAAAATTCATTGCGGTTGCCTTGTTGGACAGTACGGTGAAGGTGTTCTTCGCAGACACACTCAAAGTAGGTCTTTTGATTAGGCGCCCTCTATTAAGTAGGCTAATCAATAATGTTATTTTGTGGGAATATGATATTAAAATTTTAACCTATATTCTATTCATTATTATTATTATTTTATTATTATTTATTATTATTATTATTATTTTTAACCTATATCCTATTCATTGTTTCTTTTTCAGTTTTTCTTGTCCTTATATGGACACAAGTTACCAGTACTGACAATGGATATATCAAGTGTAAGTTTCCACATGAGTATTTGAGAGAAAAGTAAAGTAACTAATAAAGAAAAATGATTTAAGTGTAGTGAATGTGGTACCCCTGTGGCACTCCTGTGAATTACAACTGGTTTGCATGTTAAAGTGCAGTTGAGTATTGTGTCCTGGTTTAACAGTATTCATTTATTTTTATACAATTATTTACTTCACTCATTAATCTATTTATTCAACAATGTTACAATGGCTTGGATCACACAGCAAATTGTCCTAAAAGAGGCCCACACACAGGTATAACCCCCACCCTCGTTGCTGCATACTGGTGCAGCCACTGGCTGTGCACATTGACTATTACATTAATTAACATAAACAATATATTTCTACACAAATATTATACATACAACTCAATAAGGACATACAATTCAGAGGTTAATTAACAATGCTCATAAATTCAAATTACTTGTCCTAACTTTGCAGGACAGCTCATTAATTGTGACTGGATCGGCAGACAAAAACATCAAGATATGGGGCTTGGATTACGGTGATTGTCATCGTTCAATCTTTGCTCATGACAATAGCATCATGGGAATTCAGTTTGTACCCAAGACCCATCTTTTCTTTACCTGCGGAAAGGATGGTAAATTGAAGCAATGGGATGCTGACAACTTTGAAAATATCACAACATTGGAGGTGAGGTTTGAAAAATAGTTCCTTAGATATAAGCCCATCCCTAGTAATTTCCATGCAAAGTTTTCCGCATTGGTTTATTAAACCCATCCGTAAATTCAGAGTTCAAACAGAAATTGTAAACTATGTGTGTCTGAGATAACACAGTATGACCTAAAATTGCATTCAAATTAAATTTAGCACAC